CAGTGGCGATAAATTCCAGGATACAAATTGGTTATCAAAAAATAGAATGACGAGGTGGACTGTCGTGACGCAGGAAGCCAAGAGGATTTGAGGAAATAAACGAGGCTTGGGCGACGCCGGTTGGTTTTTATGATTGGACGGATTTGACGGTGCCTTTTTTTTTTTTTTTTAACGTGACGGTTGTCGCTTCCACGTTAGATCCTGGACCACAGTGTTATCTCGGTCAGTTACGGAGATGTCCAAAAAAAAAAGAATATTAATCTAACGATCGTGATAATTGATTGAAATTTATTCATAAAAGCTTTATCGCGTGTCTGTTTCCCGCGGTTTAATAAATTACAAGGATTATCATTACAGTACAGTTAACACGTCTTATCACTGTTCTTTGCCCTAGTAATATTAATTGTATCAGAGGGCTTGCTTTGTTTATTTATATATTTTGTTTATCATAAATTAATAAAAAATCCGGATTACCACAGCACACGTTGAGGTATACGAAATTTATTAAAATTTAATTGAAATCAAATCCATGTGGTCCAGAGACTTCCCTCCCACCTTTTACTCTTTGATAACGATAATCAGTCCCATTTGATATCTCACAGTGAATCAGTTAATTAACAGAGAGAAAAAGGCCAGGGCTTTGGCGTTCAACTCAAAATGTAGAGGATGCAATAAGCCAGCAACTTGCACTTGGCAGTCTCGGCCTGGCTACTTGATTAGCGCAGGTCTAAGGTCGTGGGTTAATTAGATAGCGGAAGTCTTGAGGAATAAATTACTTAATTAGCGCCGGACGAAGACTCTGATCTTCCGACGGAGGATCGTTTGACGCTTCGTGGTAGTCCAAAGTATATATAACTATAGCTACTGATATATAGTAACACCCATATATATACTCATACATATAGCCAGTCATCAAGTCACCCACTTGCAGCGCCACGAATCATTTAATCCAGGTTAAAGTAGGCTGTTCGTCCAGTTCGTCCAGTTCATCCTAAATAGACCAGTTAAGTACTTGCCGCTTCTGGTACTATTACACCACCCACTATCACCTACTATTATCACCAGGTTAACCAACGTCTGCGATAGAGTCCCTTCTTCACAATAAATCCCACCTGATTTATTAGATCCTCTATAAAATTTAATTCCCAGCTCTGGACATACCTAGTTCAACATAGTTCAGCTCACAGACGTAGGTGAGCACAGTGGCCCTCATAGTGGTCGCTATCATGCACGTTCCAAGGGGTAGATTTCAGGGGATGGAGAATTCATCGAGGGGGTGGCGGTAAAGTGAG